TTCAAGGGCCAATCTTAAAATTATCTCCCCGACCTTGAAATCGAAGATATTTCCTCGGATTTCAAGACGTTCTTTTTACCGTGCAGAGTACCTAGCCCCCCCCCCCTTTTCCTGTTCTTCGCTGGCCTCCCATCTGTACATTACTATTACTACATTCCTTTAACCGTTACATTTGAGAATTTTAACACACTAACGATTAACGCTCAGCTACTACGGGCTGCTGCACGTACTCCTACGTATATTTATTTTAGGGCTACTTTTGTGAGAGATACTCCCTCTGTCGTCTCAACGGTGAGAGATAGAGCCAAACGGACGGAGCTTAAGGCCAAGCGGCTCTACTTCCAGAAGTTACCCCTTAGGAGACCATAAAACAAATATCTTTTTCCCACGTCTTGGACCAACTCCTATTTCTTTGTTACCCACTCATACCCACTCAAGGGTGGTTGACAGGATTTGCACCAACCGTTTCGTTGTCCAAAAGTGACAACAATAATACCCTAAAAATTTCAAACCTTTAGCTTACGTTTTTCTTGGGAAACAGACAGACAGACAGACACAGGGGCGAAAGCATAAGCCCGCTTATATAGCTTTCAAGCAAAAGAGCGGGCTAAAAATGCCTCTTTGGACATGAGTTTGTTGATCAGACTGCGGTCGGTGGACATACGTTCATTGGGCAGATTACAATGGACAGGAGTTCAATGGCACACTACTGTCTCTTTAACTTGAAGAGATATTTTATTTTTTCTCCACCATTTGGAACCTAAAACCGAGGGGTCCCCCACAAGCCAACTCGCGTCGAACTCGCGTCAAACTAGCAAAAACTCGCGAGAACTCCCGAAAATTTGCGAAAAGTAGCGCTTAATTTGCGAAAAAAAAAGCGCAAAAGTCTCAAAAAAACGATTGAACTCGTGCCTTACCTGCGGCAACTCGTCAACTCGCCAACTCGTTGTACACCTGTTTTGGAAGTGGGGGACCCCTCGCCTAAACGTAACTTTCACCAAACCGCTAAATAAACGAATGTCACAAATTTTAGACATACGTTCATTGACACGATTATCACTGATAATCGTCCGTTAAGGGGGCAGACCTATGAAACGCAAGGATTTCGGAAAATAGAAACTACAAGAAAACGAAGAATCGTAGCGCTTTCAACGAACGATATTTAACAAGAGCAAGGATTTAGCTACGTTTTGATGTATACAAAGTCTGTTTGCTTCTCCGGGAACATGCTCTTCTTTGTCTCGAAGTGGAGGGTTACGGGCCTTTACCGTGTGCAGGATTTCGCGACAACAGATGGGTCTACGGCAACGACAAAAATGCTCATTTACTCTTAAAAGATGAAGGTTTCGTTTGACAAGAGCAATTTTTATTTTTTTATTTTTAAGTGTGAGAAAAAAATTGCCAAAGTTTGGGTACCTAAAATTTGTGTAAAAATTGGGTACTTTATCCCCTATTTCGGTACTTTAGAAATGAGATATCATAAATCGTTCTTGTCAAACGAAAGGTACATATCTAGGCTACAACCAGGCGAAGTGGCTAGGCTGTAGCTCAAAAACTGTGGCCTGAGGATGGCACACGGTAACGCAAAACAGAAGTAGAAGAAAAACGCGTTTAAAGTTTTCAGTACCGATGTGCAACGACAAACTAACAGCCGTGGCAACTTTCTGTACTGGTCCTAACCGGGGCTCTAGAAGACTCCTTTCTCGTCGTGTGTCCTGTCCTGAGCGGCCAGGTGAGCCCTAGCGGTACAGCCCGATACAGCCACCCGGCCGCCCGCAGGACGTTTCGGGCCCTCCTGAGAGTAATTTTTCGAACTTCGACATCCGCTTTACGGCATTAGAAAGAGGAAAGATCAAAGAATTTTTTGAAGCAATAAAAAACTGAATTTTTTGAATGATTTTCACAGGTCTGCTCCCTTTAAAAGTCCCATTAGATTTAGAGTGCACGGCACGTGTACGACGTTCTCATACATATTTCACTACGACGCATCGATCGACATCACATGGTCTTTTACCTCTTCCAGTAGAGCCGCCCGCATCCCATCCACTCTTCTGTGTTTTGTACTGCCAGTCGTAGAAGGGACCTGTTAAGTACCTGAAATCGATTACGATGCAAGTTAAACTCTAAACGACTCACCATACCCCAATCAACATTTTCTTCTGGGCACTCGCACTCGCAGTGGTCGGTTGCATACTATATTCTTTGCAAAGAATTTTCAACCTTTGTATTACAAAGAATTAGTACTGCAAAGAATATCGTTTGCAACACAAACCAATTGTTTGAGCATATTTCAGTGCGTGGTCTGGCATACATAACTGTGATGCGTCGACCCAAGACCACACGTCGCACCCGGGCAAGAGTTACCCCCAGGGTCGGCAACTCGATCTTTCGGTGTACACAAGAGTGCACGAGTAGGGTTTAAACCCTTGAATACCAGTCAAAAGTCACAATGATTTCCCTTGGAAGCTGTGGTTTTCAAGACAGAGTCTGGGAATTCAAGGGCCAATCTTAAAATTATCTCCCCGACCTTGAAATCGAAGATATTTCCTCGGATTTCAAGACGTTCTTTTTACCGTGCAGAGTACCTAGAGTTCTGGCGGATTAACTGTGGTAGTGCAGTCGTAGTATACAGCTGGGGTTCAACGGCAGTACAACCGGAGTACAACTTGAGTTAACTGAGTACAACCGAAATACAGTTGGAGTACAAAAAGTACAGTCGGAGTACGGTCACTGTTGGACGCAGGAGTACATGAGTCTACCCCGCGATTTGACCTCACCATCACGATGTAGGGTGTTTCTCAGCAAATAAGGCCATTTACGTTCCGCGCCCCACAATCATTTTGATATGGTTTTAAAAGGGTTTAATACCACCTTAGTACTAAAAGGCACTGACATTATTTGCTGCAATGCTAAAAACCTCCGAGCACTGCAAGAGTGCGTGACTAGAGCAGTTTACAGGCTCCAAATTTGAACTCTAGAATGTTTCTAATGTTTAGATTCACTTAGACTTTGCCAATTTCTGGACAATTTTAAGGGAATATCTGTTCCAGCCACCTTCGATTTCTAGAGTGGCATATCCAAGGAACTGTAGGAATGAATTTTTATCTGAAGAACTCTAGGGAGACGATCAAAGTCATTCTTAGTAACTTTTCCAGAAAGTAACGGAGTTCACAATGTTTGCTCTGACGTCGAACTGGGCAGAGGCAGTGTAATGATTTTAACGAAAACAGAACTCTTCTAAAGGGGCGATAAATGAAGCAATCGGCAGAGCTCCTTTCCCGTCTTTAGTGAAAAAATGTCTTCAAGTTCGAAATTAGGCTTGTACGCCATGCAACGTGAACACCTCCACACAGGCAGGATGGCGTAGTATGAAATCCCTTCTCTCAATGAAAAGTAAGGTCTTGGTTATTTGCTTCTTCTATGGTTAAACGGATCGTCGCATCTACAACACTGATTTATCAATGATTACATTTATACTCTCTGACTTGTGCACTCCCGTATCCCTACTTTTATGTGTGGCCTTTGTTTAATGACTTACCGGTTACGGTTTGTAATGGCCTTATATGGAAATATGTAGCAAGGGATGAATTTAGAACTGTAAAATGTTAGGTTCGGCATCCATGGAGCAGTGTCGAGGCGAAAAACTAGTTCTCAATAGCTGTGTTCTGGTTACACTACAAGGCATAAAATGGGGATGCCTAGATTTAATATAAGTACAACAGAAACCAGCCCAATTAAAAGCAACGAGACGCAAAACTTGAGGGGTGTTGTAGTTGGAAGAAAAGGTTGGCACTACTGATACCACATAAGTACTGTACAGTTAATATCACTGCCTTCGAGCCTAACCTTTCCAACTACAAGGACAAGTCGCCTACAATAATAAATCTCTCTCTGGAGTATTCCCCTAAAGTGTTCTGTCTCCTTCGTTATCCCTGATCCAAAATTCTAAAGATATCTATTCTATAACACCATAGAATAGAACATAGTTTCGACTCAGCTCGGTTCCACTTCGCTCCGCTCGGCTCGGCCAGTGGCTCGGCGCAACAACGCGCAGCGCGCTCGACGCGACGGATACCGAGTGGGAAATCACTTGGGTTCGAAGCGTACGGACTATTTCGTGGTATTTCTCCTACCATTTCGGTTATTTCGCCTCACATTTCGGCTGTTTCCCGCCTATTTCGGATTATTTCAGTCTATTTCGCGCTATTTCGGAGTATTTCGCGACTATTTCACCGACTATTTTCGCGTCTATTTCGTCTTTATTTCGCTCCATTCAGGTTCTATTTCGCCTTTATGTCGGACTATTTCGGCGGAAGGTGTACGAACTATTTCGCTAGTGATTTCCCCCTCGACGGATACCAGGGTCAGACCACATGAACTATGTCTACGAGATTGCACTACTTTCTCGGATCAGGTTGAAACTTGCAGGAAGTTTAGATAATACCCAAATACGAATGTGTCTTCAGAGCAGTGAGCCAAATATGATGAGGAAGAATTATATTAGAGCCTTAAAATTGTGCTCCGGCGGCAGACATTGTGTCACATTTCAGCACATTTCCCCTAAAATACATCTCGGATCGACAAACGGACGACGGGGCCGAAAAGAGCACAAAATTTGGCGTCTGTTACGTATTTTTCCTTATTTTAACCGTCTATGAATGTATGAAATAGATTAAAAAGTATCCTAACCTCAAACTAAAATAGACACCATTCGTTTGTCTCTCATCTTTTGGCAACCGGAATGGGGTTAAAAAAATCCTTATTTACCAAGGAACATTAAACGTAAAAGCTGGGGAGGTGTTTTTTTGTTGTATCCAAGATCTTTCCAATCGAACGTAGTCTGTTTGAAACTTCTGTTGTCCATTGCGCCGCTGCCTATTCAACGGCGCTTCTGCGCATGCGCAAAGAGGCGTGCAGGAACGCGCGGCCGCGGTAGGCCCAGTCAGTTTGAATGTAACAACAATTTATTAGAAATATGTCAGGAATGACAAAGAACGCGTCCCCAGCTTTTACATGTAATGTTCCTTGGTAAATAAGAAAGCTAGTCAGCTGCCTCACGACCCCGTCGGCGTCTAGCGATGAGCTTGCCATTCGTTCTCTTTTATATTTCTTAATCAATAGTAAAAGGAATGACACCTTACATTACTTGGTGTAAGGTTGTAAGGTATCATCTGGTAAAAAAGATTTCGCAGTTAACCCGAGGGGGCCGCCACTCCTGAAATCATGTGTACGCCCTCCCTGAAATCCTCCCGAAATCATTTGAAATCCACCTGCAATCATGAAATCATGCGTAATCTGCCAGCAAATTTTAGTCTGAAATCCTTAGAAGGTCATGTAAAAACCGCCGGAATCCTGTAAAATTTTCAAGAATACTTCCTAAGGGGTAACTCGTCCAACTGCGGGGTTTAAGGCAAAACTTTCGACCGTTTTGCTCTATCTGAAGCCGTTTAATCGCTACCGTCACGTTTAGGAGGGGAAATGTATGGGAATCACTAGGGCTTAAGAGCAGCGGTTGTAAAAAGCAGTCCCACAAAAAATGTTATAAAACAAAAGTTGTAGAAAGATGTAAGCTCTAACTCGGGAATTTACACTTGACGGGGTTCCCTTGTCAGACCTATCCTCCCCTCCCACTCCCCGTTGAAATTAGTGACGGTCACCATGGATTATCGTACCGGTTGTAGAAAGCCGGAACCATGCCGTAGTTAGGCTCTTCGGCCCCAGCTTCCAGAAGCAGCACCTTCCAAGAAGACACCTCGCTCAAACGACTCGCCGCGACGCAGCCGGAGCTTCCTCCGCCAATCACAATAAAGTCGTACGGACCCTGGTGAAACAGTCAACGGTGAAAAATACAATCAGACCGTATGTAAGGCACTCTTAAAAGGAATGGACAATTTTTAAACGTAGGTTAGTTAGGGTTAGTTGTGTCCTTGTCCATATAGCTTTTTCAAGATTAAAATTTGTCTGCATAGAGACGGAACCATACTTGTACCTAACGTTTAGACAGTAGTAGAGTTTTGGCTGCCCAGAATCGAATGATGCGTTTTTGAACACATATCTCAAACAAATGCAAATTTGAATGTAGCAATGGACAAATTAGCATCCTATTAAAATACAATACTTTTTTTGTCTATTTTTACTCGTGTCCCTAATCAGATTAAAATGTGCAAAGGGGCATCCGGCTGAGATGTGCACAAACATGCATCATTCTATGGACAATAATAGTCTTGAGAGATTTAGTGTGTGGTACTACTCTTTCTACATAATATCCGCAATGTTCGCGCAAAGGAGAAATACCGAAAACTACAAACACATTCCGTAGAAAGTGGGCGCGTCTATTTCAAACGTAAGCACCTGCACGCGCCCAGGGTGATCAGACATCGGATCTTGCCAGTCTAGAAGTAGGAAGGTCTATGAACAAGCAGGCCCGCCCTTTCGCCAAACAGAGTTGCCAGCTCCGCTTAGCCGGCAACTCCGTTCGGCAGGGCCCGGGCCTGCTTGGCCTGCCACTGGCAATGGTCACTGTAAGTCACTTTGCATATTTGAGTAAACTAAGGCTTCAGGCGAAGGGGCCTGCTGGGCCCTAGAGATTTGCTGGACATAAGAAGAGAATGTTACGGGGCAACACCATGAACTACACCCCACCCTTCTGCTTTGCTAAAGAATCTGAAAAAAATAAAATGAACAAAGCGCAGTTTTTAGTTTGTATTGTTTGTCAAACAGCCTTAAAAGGTGACTTTTTGCCAGTATTTTAAATATATTAGCCCCTAGCTCCGAGAGAGTTAAAGATACGGTGAATCCGAGGGCAGTTCCCGATTTAGAATGTGCTGTTTTTTTTTTTTTTTTTTTTTTGGGGGGGGGGGGGGGGGGGGTTACTTTCTATGACATTTTACAATCGGACTCGTCCTTGTACGTCATTAAGTGCAACGTGAACTGTTGACTGAAGCACCGGCGATCCCGGAAATACCACGTACACTAGTGTACACTGTTAAAAGAACTGTTGTAAATTTGATGCAAAGTTTGACAGCGACAAATGTTCTTAAAAAACAAAACATGTTGTAATCCAACATCATTCACAAAATTTTCTAAAAGAAATTTTCATCTCCTGTCACGTTTGCTAAAAGTGTTTAAAAACGCAATGTTGTTGCCATCAAACCTTACAACGAATTGTTGTTACAACATGGTGATAAGACTAGTTCTTTTTATCATTGACCCATGATTCCGTGTCTGGTTTCGGATTTTATTTTAACTCTCGAAAATTAAAGGTATTCGTGAAATTTGAACCCACTCCAAATCTGGGCTCTGTAGCTCAAGGTTTGAGGCAAAAATAGCGGCTTTAAAGGGTGGTGTAGGTATAACTCTATGAAAATGTCCAGTGAGGTGAAATCTGACTAGACCATTTGAAAGAGGATAAAAAACTGATTCTAAACCACCAATGTCAAATAGTTGGATTTGAGTTTTCTACCCTTCGATCAGAGGTATCAACCAAATTTAGCATATAAGCGTAACTCTCATAGCCAAAATATATGGTCTCCAATTGTCACCAAATTTGGTGTACAGTTTCTTCTAAGGTCCCTTAACATTCTCTAATTTTTGTGTGAAGGTAATAAAATAAATATATATATATTAGTTATTCCATGTTAAATATTTAAAAGAAAAGTTTTAATTTTTTTTTGAATTCTACCTTCCCACAAATATTAGAGAATGTTAAGGAAACTGTACACCAAATTTGGTGACATTTGGAGACCATACATTTTTGTAATTATTCTCATGGACCACGTTAGGTAAAACAAAAGGAATTTTGTCACATGGCAATGAAAATGAATGACGCGGTTTTATAACAAACTGCTCATCACAGATTGTGTCGTAATTTGACAAATTCTTTAACAGTGTAATTCAGTTTTACGCCGAGTACTATACACAAGTTTTCTGGTATTAAATATGTCCCTCGTTATTGAGTGAATAAGCATTTTGTGAGTACCTTGACAATATCCTTCGTTTGCTTGGCTTTTTGCTGGGCCGTCGCTATGCCCTTTGTTACGATGGCCGCGACGAGAGTGGCAAAGACGGAGGCCGCCGAGCAGCTCGACTGAGCCTGTGCCGTCCAAGCGGCCGATGAGGTGAGAGGAGCGAGCCACATCTGGAACCATAATGTTGATGACGTTAAAAAAGTTTCGTTTCCTGGAAAACGAGTTTGTCTTATCCTAAAATGATAACAATGACCAAAATCAAAGCATACCTTGCTTCCCTGAACCTTGTGGTCAATATTAATAAGACTCAATGTCTATTTTTTAATTTGAAGAATAGGAACGGTGACTTAAAGCTATCCATTGAAATAGAAGAAACCCTCATCCAGGAAAGTGAATTCTCCAAATTCCTTGGTATCACCCTTGATAAAGGGATAACGTGGAGAGGGCAAACTTCTGACGTCATAAAAAAACGAAGATCTGGTAACTTCGTACTTAAACAAGTAGCTCAATCCATGGCCAAAAAGTACCTAATCATGGCATACTATGCATTCATCTACTCCCATCTCAGTTACGGAACCATTATGAGGGGATGTGCACCTAAAGTGGAGCTTAACAAAATCTTTAGTCTCCAAAAGCAATCGCTAAGAATCATGGAAGGCCTCCAAAAAGAAACAACCTGTAGGGGCCGTTTTAGGGCACAAAATATGCTGACCCTACCTGGAATATACATGTTTCAAACCATGATATATGCCAAAAGTAACGAGGAGCAACTTGCCAAGAACCAGGACTACCACCAATATAATACCAGAAAAAAGAATGACATCCACTTAGAATTATATAAAGGAGCCTTTTCAAGGAATAATCCCATCCATGCTGGAAGCATGCTCATTAACAAACTCCCGGATAGCATTAAAAACATAAAGGAATTCAAGAAATTTAAGAGGGAGCTGCGGAAACACCTAGTCAACGAAGAACCCTATGAATTTTAACAAATCATGTCAACTTTAACTTATGTCTACACTGCTTTTATTCAATCTACTTTTATATTTGACTTTTGATGCCCCTGCTACAAGTTGTATCAATAAATTAATAATAATAATAATAATAATGCACTGTTACAGGGGGCAGACCAGTGAACGTGAACATCATCGAAAAACATAATATTTTTCACTGCCTCAAAATATTGTTTGATCTTTCTTCTTTCTAATGCCGCAACGCGGATGTTGAAATTCAAACAACGCCCAGGAGAGCTCAAAACAAAACTTGCTGCGAGTTCAATGCTATGTTTCAATCACAGCAAGTGCTGATCCACAAGCGGGCTGCTAATTCTGAGACGTTAATGCAAAACATTTGTCAAAACTTTAACCGAGGGAAATGGGCCGCCTCGGCACCCTAGACCTGTCTCACCCAAACAACCAGGTAAAGATAAGATGGATGTCCCTGAGGGCATTCCCTGTGTAATCAAACGGAGAGTGGCACTGGTACTAATGAAACATTTTAATTTTTCAGCTTCCATTGCGCGAAGTTTATTTGGGACCAGGCTGCAAAGAAGCCCTAGACAGCGTACCGCGCTATCCGCCGCGTAGAGACGTGCCGGAAGAAGAGGTGGCAAGGCAGTTAGAGAGGGATAAGGACACCTTCATATCCAAATGCCTTGCCTTCTATTTGCGGGCCCAAGAGCTGGCACAGCGGCTTCCATTAAACGACCCAATTTTCAAAGAGATGGCATTCATAGACCCCGCGGTGCTCCTCTCTCAGTCTGCTCGGAGTGGCTCAGATGGGTTAGTGGACCTTCCTCTGATGTGCTCTGCATTCAAGGTCAGTATTTTCGACGCGATTCACAAAGCACTTGTAATCATTTTCAGTATGCTCAACGGTTACAGTTTTTGTTTTAATTTCTAGGAAAAACTTCAACTGGACTCTAACTCTCTTGCTTCTGAATGGCGGAAATTTCCCAATATTGTAATGGGAGCAATTAAGGACAAACTCTTAAATATGACTGTTGAAGATGCTTGGGTGGAAATTGGATGAATGAGAAATGGCAGAGAGGAACCCATGTCTACCCAACTAACAAAATTGGCCAATGTGGTCAGGATTCTGCCACACTCAAACGCCCATTCCGAGCGGATGTTTTCAGTTGTAACCGATGTGTGCACCAAAAAACGAAATAGGCTGACTTGTAAAACCTTGAACGCCGTGTGTGTGTCACTGGTTTTCTTCAGATCCAAAGGCATTGACTGCACGTCTTTCAAAGTTTCTAAGGACCACCTAGTCAAGCACAATATCACCATGTACGCTAGAAAGCTTATTATCTTTGTAATACTTGTTCCATTATTCTGACTGATCTCTGATTTATAGTTTGTACCAAAGAAGTCCGACCGTCCATTTCTAGTTTCGTCAATCTAGTCGATTGCAATCATTTTATTTTTGTTAATTACCCATTGAAAATACAATTTTATTGCATGTATTACTTTTGTTCCTAATTTATTTCATCTTGAAGTGGCGCGCCAATGTGAAGAGGGTGGGGTGGGGGTCGGGTGAGGAGGCACTGCTCACTGCCCGCAACATCTCGGCCAGAAAACTGTTCTCCTGAGTTGGAGACACAAGATACTTTGATTCTTCGACTTACGCGGCATCTAATTTTTGGCGTATTTGGCAGATTTCGTGAAAATACCCACGTTTTCAGCAAAATTCCCTTTGTCCCTTTCGCTCCCAAAATTCCCATAATATGGGAAATTTCCCACGGCGTCGCAACACTGTGTGGGTAAGCTGAAGATGTTACGCACAGCGTATCGACTCACGAGTTACCTCCCTATATAAATTATACACGCCGAACCGCATTTAGCCGTTTCCGGGGTTATGCCTACGGGGGCCCAGGGGGTGAAAAGTGTCAATTTCCCTCAATGACCCAACTTCGAACCCTTAGAGAGGGGTTCAAGGTCAGACAATGAGTCAGAATGGACTGTGCCGCAAGTCTTGGGATATCTTGAAGTACTTTATTCCAGGTATACTTGTTCAATCCCAGGTTTTCAGTCCACCCTAGCGGCCAGCCGCCCGGTCTGGCGTGACTGCGGCGGGGCAATTGGGGTTCCAACCCCCCCCCCCCCCCCTCTCGACCCTTGACTGTTGACACAGGAACACAGGCAGAGTCAACCAGGGCACATTCCCCGAGAAATGCTTTCGTGGGGGTAATCACTCCGTGAAAATGCGTACACCTCAACTTTTCACTTTTTCACTTTTTCACCGTTTTACAACACGTTTACTTCATTTCTATGCCTATATTCCCTCTATTTTATTCATTTTTGATCTGATCAACGCACGATAAGTCACTTTTGTCCACATTTGTTGCCAGTTTTCATCACTGTCAGTCAACTTTTTGTCACTTTTACTCTAACTTTTATAACAAGCTGGGCCCGCTCTTCCGCCAAACCAAGTTGCCAGCTCCGCTTCGCTCCACCGGCGACTCGGTTCGGCAGGGAGCGGGCCCAGCTTGGCCTGCCGGTGGCGTTTGGGACGGGCCTTCGGCCCGTCCCTTCTGAAATTTCATGGTGTAATACATCTTCTATCCGAAAACGGGCCTTCGGCCCGTTGGAGTGACGGCTCGCTTTTGACCATCTTTTTGACAGGCATCTTTTCTGTCTACTTCGTAATCAAAACTCAACCAACGAAGTATTCTTTTCATACGCTGGACATCTTTGGCTGTGTGTGCCGCAGTTTGTAGAATACATGCAAGTTATGCCAAATCCCTTCTAAGTTATTGATGTTAGCTTTTGAATCAAATAACACATCTATCAAAAGATACATAAGACTAGCCCTAGAAGAAGTTAAATATACTTCCAGGCATACTCTGAATGACTCCGAACGTGTTCGAACAACAAATAAATGTTTTTTTTTGTGTGTGTGTGTTGTTTTTTTTTTGTTTTTTTTTTTGTTTTTTTACATGGAAGTGTACACGTTTTATTAATGATGTCCCACCATAAAATAAGCCTACTCTTCTGCTTAGAAGAAAATTTTGAACCGACGGCATACTTCTCAGACAGAAGGGTACTTCTGAAAAAGTAAAAATATTTCTGTTTTGGCTAGTTTGGTAAGAAAAACTCCCTTTTGTAAGTAAACAGGACAAAACTTTAGTCCAAGAGGCTCTGCTTTCACAAGTTACCCCTTAGGAAACCATCAAATGTTTCTAAAATTAATATATTTATTTTTAAGCCACTTTCGTGGGTATAACTCCCTCTAGCGCGTAAACGGTGAGAGATAGAGCCAAACGGACAAAATTTTCGCCCAAAGGGCTCTACTTTTACGAGTTACCCCTTAGGAGCCCATAAAAAAAATATTTTTTTTTCCACTTCTTGGACCAACCCCTATTTCTTTGTTACCCCCTCAGACCCACTCAGGGGTAGTTGCCAGGATTTGCACCAACCGTTTCGTTGACCAGAAGTGACAACAATAATACCCTGAAAATTTCAAACCCCTAGCCCACGTCCTTCTTGGGAAACGGACAGACAGACAGACAGACAGACAGACAGACAGACAGACAGACAGACAAACAGACGAACACAGAGGCGATGGCATAAGCCTGCTTATATAGCTTTTAAGCAAAAGAGCGGGCTAAAAATGTGTACACCTACTTTCTGTAGTGATTACCCCCTCGAATGCTTTACACTAATGAGTTACTGAACGCAAACTCATCATTCGATCATTCGGCACAGTATTGACACCTGGTGCGTTACTGATGTCATTATGATGTATTACGAACAAGAAAATAAAGGACACACGATCCCAACCATATTTCACGTCGACAAAGGGCCCTAGTTGTCGGAATAAGCCCGTATGACAGGAGAACAACATTCAAAATAAAGTGAGTGTCGACTAGTGGAACAGCCGACGCAAAAATATTTGTTTGCTTTCGGTATGCTTTCGGTATGCTATCGGTTCGCGGAGGGTCGCGCTCGGTGCGCCAATGGGTCGCCGAGGTTCGTCAGGCTCCTGAGTGACGTATCGCCAAGGTTCACCGGAGATTCGCTCCGGGGCGACCTATGTCCGCCATCGAGTCGCTCCGTGAGCGGACAGCACGGAAAAAAAATTTAGTTCTCCCAACTAAAGTTTAAGTTGACTCCCGGATAACGAAGAAATTTTGGCTCCAGCAACCAGTTTTTATGATTGTAACAACCAGCATTAAGTCGAGGGAACGACCCCGTTGTTGGGAGAACGAAACCATGCCTTGTCCACGGAAAGGATTGCGTTTGTTCTCCCAACAACGGCGTCGTTCCCTCGACTTAATGCTGGTTGTTACAATCAAAAACTTGTTGCTGGAGCCAAAATTTCTTCGTTATCCGGGAATCAACTTAAACTTTAGTTGGGAGAACTATTTTTTTTTCCGTGAGGGCGAACTGGGTATGCTTTCAGGTTGCTCCGAAACAAACAGAGCGACCCAAGTACGCTTTCGGTTCACCTTGACAGCGCCGTGGTCGTCTGGTTTTTTCCTTCCCAGGAAACCCCGGCTGGGCGCTGGCGCTAATCCCTAGACTGGCGCACTTGCGAGCAGAAGAGGGGAATAGTGGGGCGGCCCCGGGACCCCGAACTACCTGCTGGCTCCTCTGCATTGCACACAGCACACTTTCGTTGGCAGCTGCTGGCTGGGTTGGACACAGCGAGCGACCAAGTCAGTCTCCGAGTGGAAGTCGCAGAGAGAGGACGTATGCGTCCGTGCAGTCGTGGCCGGACCGCGTTGTGGCTGCTCTGTTTTACTCAAATCTTTAGTGTTCAACTTGTTACTAGCTACACTGATAAACTATACACCTACCGAGTTGAACACTTGCAAGTGTTAAGCAGTTGAACACTTAGTTTATCAGTGTACATGTCTTTAGCTCTGGTTATATTTAACTTTTAATATTGGACTTACTATCCATGTTACGCCTAATTAGGCGTAACGTTTTTAGAAACGTCTAGATTTTTTTGTTTATAACATATTATTCCCTGTGGGTGCTGCAACTATGCATCTTTTAATATCTATTGTTACAACATGCTACTTTAGTTTGGTTTCAGTAGTACCCCGGCTGCACGCTCTTTCTGGGCTTGGTCCTACCCCTGGCCTGGGTTGAACCCCCCGCCGCACCCGCGGCTGCACCCCCTGGACCCGAACATACCCCTGGCCTAGGCGCACCCCCTGCCTATCCCCCCTACCCCCCCCTCGCGATTTGAATTTTTGGTGGACAATAAACGAACATTTAGCGAACAGAAAGCAAACGTTTCCGCGACGCGGACGGATCTAGAGACAAACTGATGGCGAACAAGTAGCGACTTAGATACGCCATCGGGAAAGTGACCTATGTTCGCTTTCAGTCGTCATGACAAACTAAAAACAACCTAATAGCATACAGAACGGTACCTCCTATCAATATGCGCTTATAATTCATTAGGCTAAACGTAACCGCTCTTCACCTCGGGTTCTAAACAGAACCGCTTACCTGCGCGGGTCCTACACAGAACCGCTCATCTGCTCGCGGCCGGGGCGCTGGTTAGGTTAGGTTGCCCCTTGGACACTGTTAAAAAAATTTCTGTAATTTTACAGGAAATGTTTAGCTAATTTTGGGGGCAAGTGGTGTCGTAAACTATTTTTACAGCGCAGTTGTAAAATTACGACTATTGCCATGGAACCCAAAAAACGTTGACACCTTTTTTACGTTTTCAAGGTAGCGCTGTAAAATTACAGAATAGCTGTCAGACTACAACATCGGTTGTAGAATCCGCCATATAAATATTTCGGATATTATTATTTACTATAAAATCACCAAATATCGGAGGTTTTTTCGGGTTATAGCAGTTTAAATACGGTGTTCTAGTACAGACGAGAGAGTACGTAACTTTTTTTTATTCTAAATTAAAGGTCAGCGCCTAGAAACATCCATTGAAATCTGGGAGTCACCCGCCCGTATTTCAGAAAGATAAGCGGTTCTGTGTAGGACCCGTGCAGATGAACGGTTCTGTTTAGAGCCCTTAGTAATGGGCGGGTCTGTGTGGACTAAAAACAAATAAGCGCATATTGAAAGGAGGTACCGATAATATTTTGCGTCGGGGTGTCTTTTTCTGGCCCGGTAGTCGACACCGCCATTATTTACGCCCCTGACCGAAATTTTCGAAAACCTAAATAGGTAAAGATAATACATATCTTTGACAACAACACAAACGTCCTCCGGAACCACTCGGGTGAATAGCAGCCTCGCAGAAACATCCGAGCGAACACCTGCCCCCTACTCCGGAGCTAAGAAATGATGGCTCGATGTGACGCGACGAGCAGTGTTCTGTGCGAAGCAAGGTCGGCATCGGCTCCCAAACTCAGCTCGTTTCCGTCCCGCTCGCTCTGTCACCCGTCCCGTCCGCTCTCGGTCTAGTCTTCCCAGCGAAAGAATAGTGAAGTGCGGATGGCGGATTCCGTAGCTCTTTTCCCCCACTACTCAGTTCTCACCAATCAGTCCACAAGAAACTGAGTAGTGGGGGAAGAGAGCCACGGAATCCGCCATCTGCACTTCACTATTCTTTCGCTGGGAAGACTATCCGGCTCGCTCACTCCCACTCGCCGAGACTCGATCGTGTCAACGGGTCCCGTCTGCTGGCCAGGCGTGGCGTGGCGTGGCGCTGGACCGACTTTGCCTACGCGCCACGCCACGCCCTCAGGTGGCCGGCAGGCGGGGCTCGGCCACTCAAACGGGTCCCGTTCGCTCGGCTGCATTCGGCGAGGTTCGGCACATCGCCATCGCTACCTCGGGTTTCTCGCTCTGTCTCTCTTGCACACCTACTGCGCACGGCGCGCGCTCAGAGTGGGACCCGTTCGGGAGCGGATGCCGACCTCTGGTGCGAAGTGCTCCCAACCGGCTCCCGGGGGTTGGCACATAATCGGCAATGGCAATTATAATCTCAATAGAGTGCGCTACAACCCGGCAAAACGCGCGAGACTCTACCGTTAACTTCTTTGCGGGAAATCGATCGCAAAGTTGAAAGTGTCGACTACTGGTGTACTGTCGACAACTGGGCCCCTTACCTTAGTTGCGATTTTCGGAAACCGTCGCGTTTCACATGTCTGCCCCATCAACAAGTATAATGGTCTTAGAAAGCAGACGACAGAAGAAAAGCCGCGGAAGGGATCAGTACGGCTATTACGTGCCACCTCATCGCGTCGTCTCGTAGCCGCATAGTCCACACATAGCCACTTCACGTCACAACGGACAGTCTCGCTGCCGCTGGCCATTGCGCTGACCGCAGCCGCACAAAAGAACCAATAGGCGCGCTGCATGTCCCTTTCCCAAGAGGTGACTGCCGAGGTAGGCACACCCAGAAGAGCGTAACTTTGACTTAACGAAACCACGAACTGACGATATTTTCGTTGATTAGACGTAAAACCTGCTTCAGCCCAAACAAAATTTGCTCAATCTAACAAAACTTTTGTCCTGTAAAAGAAATTTTCTCGTTGCATGAACGAAAAAGTTTCCTTTGGTATCTTTGATACCTCCTACCTCCATTCAGCCCCGTAGGGGTGGTTGCCAGGATTTGCCAAAGGCCTTTCGTTAGCTGAGTGAGCCTTTAGATACCCTGAAATTTGAAGTCTCTCCTTCTATTAGAACAGACAGACAGTCACGAGGTCGTTTGCATAAATTAACCCGCTTGATAGCTTTTTCAAAGAAGAACAGGGTTGCCACAACAATGGCTAAGTGAAATTCCCTGACTTCCCTGACAATTCCGTAAATTTCCCTGACATAGATCAGCAGTCAGAATGCAATAAGCAAGAAGGGACTTTTGCAAACACGTCGCTCACTGAACCGAAATGTGACCGAGAATACGTACGCTTTGCGCCATCGTGCCCACTGTTTTGTTACGACAAAACAATATGGCACCACCATAAATAGGCTCAAGGAGAGCGTTGCCATGCAGGACAAAAGCCCATAAAAAAGGTGCATGCACTTTGCGCGTGACCCAAGCCATAAAATTAGTGGCAGTATCTAGCATTCTTGTTTTGTTCATGTTCATGAGCGAAATAGTTCACGGTTTTGGGAGTTGCTTTCCTTACACACCCAACAATGTTTTTCGAAATTCCACGACCTCTGCTTGAAGTCCTGCACAAAATACTTATAGAAAACACTTATAGAACGAGGTAGGACCCCTTTCGCTCAATTGCTTAACCAAGTTGCCAGCTCCGCTTCGCTTCACCGGCAGCTTGGTTCACAAGAGAGGTGCCTAGCTTGGCCTGTCGGCAGCGTTTGTTACGGCATTTCAGCCGGCCCCTTCAGTTTTTAGCAAATGATAGATTTTAAATCATTTAGAAGCATTAAGAGCACTTTGCACAACTGAAATTAATAAGAAATGTTATGTCAAATGTAAAGTAAAAAAGAAAGGAATTCATTTAAAATTTACGTGTTGGAGCTGTTAAGGCCGCAGCCCTCGTTCGGTCCAACCGCGCGTGGAATACACAGCATTATAAAAGGTGGAGGAGGAATTACGCCAGCTTGCACGGTGTTGGACCTGTAAAGGGTGCATTTCACAAAAAGTGCGTGATTTCAGAACAGGAAAAAAATGACTTTTTCACCTCGAACTCGGAGGAGGACACGGCGGCGGCGGCGGCGGGAAATAAGATCGGCTGATCCGGGAGAGGACAGGTGCTGTATGATCTCATCGCGGAGGTGACCGGGAGGGGACAGGCCA